GAAGTTGTAGGTACAGTGGGCAGGTCTGCAGAATGTGCTCAGGTGATTGTGGTCCTGTTTGAACAGGCACACTGTGGGGACTGTACAATCTTTATTGTATGCATGTGGCGGTTGAGCCTGCAGAGTCCTATTCGTAGATGGAAAATTGTTGCATGTTGCTTTCTGTTGAGTCTGCTGATGTGGTCTTGTGGATGTTTACTGTTATTTGCTCTCTCATCAATTCTTTGTATTTTTCCTTGATAAGTGTATTCTTATTTCTGGTAATAACAATGAATTGGCATTTTGTTTCTCTTTTGTGACATTTTTTTGTAAGTCTGTCTGCTAACTCATTTCCTGGTATGCCTCAGTGAGCGGGGATCCATTGGAGAACGATTTGATTGTTTTCTGTCTGTTTTGCTGGTGGGTCGGTTCTTTTTCCATGTTGTCGTGTAGATCCTTCTGAGTCACCTGGAGGACTGACATGCAGTCACAAAGAAAAACAATTTTCTGTTTTTAATTTTTTTTCCTCAAGAATTTTGGCCGAACCAATAATTGCTAACTACCCATTCGTAGCCTGATTCTCGATAGCTAGAAAACTGGTCTAGAATACTCGCTTGCTAAAATTCGGCTGAGAAAAAGTATTTTGTCTTTGTTTCGACTGGAACAAAGGAGAAACGCTACCCATCCATGGGGGTGGACGCAACTAGAAAATCAAATTGAGTCTTGCGTTTGAGTTATTAGCAGCCCCAATGAAGTTCACACCATTGTTGAGGAGCCAGTTGTAGCATCCATTTGTGAACGATGGATGGGCAGCAGTCTAAGAGAGTGTACAACCAGGATAAGAGACAGAACGTGCTGAAGATCCATTAAAGCCCACCTTCACTGTAGAGACAGCAAATTATTGATTGATTAACAAAAAATGCCTAGCCTCACAGAGGATTCCAACACGGGTATCTCTTATAAGAGCCAAACATTTTTAACCGTTTGGTCATTTATCAACGGAGAACTAAATACAACACAAACTGTGACTTGAAAACTACGGATAGGACAACAGAGTATGTAAAACAATCAAGGTCAACACGAAACCAAGAAACCAATGTCAGCGGGAAACCTAGAAATGCGTAATCAAATTGCGCAAACGCGGAAATAACAAGTATAAAAACATAATTTAAAAGAGGGCTTATGTACATGGGTGAAAGTACTTAGCCCCATTGGATATTTCCCTTTTGTGTGAAGGCGGGGAAGAAAAAAAAAAAGGGGGGGGGGTGGACTATAAGGTGCCATGTTTTCACGCCCCTGACCCCCACACCTCGCTCAACCGTCCGATAAGCCACTTGTGCCTCTCGTCGCCCGCTAACTACCCATTCGTAGCCTGATTCTCGATAGCTAGATACTGGTCAATACTCGCTTGATATTCGGCTGAGTTTGTCTCGACTACGCTATCGGGGTCGTCTGCGTTTGGGTTATTAGCAGCCCGTGAGCACACCATTGTTGAGGAGCCAGTTGTAGCATCCATTTGTGAACGAACAAGCCTTGTCGACTCTGCAGGGATCGAGCTTTCGATAGCCGCCTGAGAAGTACCGCTCTTACCAGCCACAGCCACACCAAATCATGGCCCGTGGCAAGAAGAATCCTGTCCAGCGCCGAGATACCAGGGCGACCTCAGCCAACAAGGAGGAAGCACCTGTCGTCGCACCAGCCCTGACGATGCCAGAACCGGTCGACGATCCTGAAGAGACGCCAGCCTCACTCATCCAGACGCCGCCAGCCCTGGACGTAGGCCCTATCGAGGCCCCAGTCGTGGCGCAGGGAGCCACCAACACCCGCCCACTCAGGCAGCAGCAGTAGCGACCGGGAACCCACAGTACAGAGATTCTGCCTGTGCTCACGCTGTAACAAGGCGTGGCACGCCAGCCAGGCAAGATGACCACCGCCAAAACTGACTCCCACCTTTCCCGATCCAGGCCGTCCCAGCCTATGATCCGCCCTTTTTAGGGCAGACTGAGATCCCTTCCCTCACCCTGAAAGCAGCAGCAAACCTCAGGCGTAATCGCCGCAACAAAAACGACGATAACTGGAAAAAGAATTCCAGGCTCAAAAAAACAGTCCTCGATATAACCACTGCTTAATCTAGGAGCCGGTTGAAAGAGGCGCGAAGTTTTTTTTTTTTTTTTTTACCAACATCAAGATCAAGCCCCTGACCCACATAACCTCTTCTTTTGTACGAGTTGTTTTTTTTTTACTTCGGGCTGCAAGGCAAGAAAACCATGCATCAGCCACCCGACGCTACACCAGAACAGAGTTTGGGAGTTGTTAGACAAACTGCCACCTCATAAATATGTCGTAAAAGAGGACTAATTATGGTGTTTACTTTTAAGTCTGATCGCATCTTACTGAAAAGCTGAGAAAAAAAAAAAAAAAAAAAACTCACAGCCTGCATTCTAATAAACAATATGTGCACTCAAAACTCAAGTTCTGGAACAAAATCATATCATTAATATCCTAGCTCCAGATGACGTCACGGGACAGTCCAACATTATAGAGGGTGTAAAGACTGGGTTTTCCGGCTTTCTGAGGCTTTTAACGACCCCAAAACATCCAGAACTGATCCTAACCCCATACGTCTCACGAGAGAGTGCAGTCAAGGTTCCACGACTGCACACAACCTAGGTCCCACGACTGCATGCAGCCAATCTACCACCCTCTGAAATATTAGACCGTCCCGTGACCTGTGGATTTCCCCTGTTTGGGGTTGGTTATTAATAAAGCACCGAAAATCAAAGTCTAGAAGTGGGCGAATAGCCATAACTTTCTGCCGGAGTTCACGGTCGGTGAATGCCAAGAAAAAGAAGATTGTTGCCAGTTATGAGATTGTCAAAAGACTGGTATTTTTGACATTTCTCATTATGTTTTCCGCACACTTTTGCCTAATTACCAATAACATGATATCATTTCTAGCGAGAAAAATTTCTTTAAATGCTAAATAGGTATTGTGACCATAACACCTTGAGCTGAAAAAGCGACATCCCACTAAAATTGTGAGCTGAAAGTGTGACATCACAAGTCAGTTTAACCCCACCTCCTTTTTTCCTTAGGTCAGCGGGGTGAAGGGGTTAATTACATCCAAAGGCTTTAAAACCCAAACCATTGTCGTCAAGAAATAAACTAAACCGTGTGCTCTTTAGCTGCACTTAATTAAAGGCTACAAAAACAACATTCGATCAAGACTAAGCATGTATTGTTCTCGAGCTCTTTTTCTTCTTCACGTTAACCGGCTGTAATTGTGGCGGAAAGTTCTGGTTACTCATCCACTTCTGGGCTTTGGCCTTGTTCAGAAACCTGTATTTTGCTTGCGAATCCGGTTTCAAGGTCTGAAATATCTATACACAGAGTATCGGTTCCTTGCCTCCTAGGCAGACGCACACCGACTTCGAAGGAAGCCTTAAGTAAGTCGACTTTTACGACATGCTTCTTGGGAGGCAGTGGGTATATACTTATTCCTCTCCCTCCTTCACATGGGCGCACGGGAAGGTCGCGAGCTAATTCCTTAGATCTTTATTATAACGGGACACTATACATGTATTTGTTTAGTACCAACGGGATATACATAAAAAGCGGGACTGTTCCGGTGAAGGAATGTACTGACACCCTATAGAGTTTGTTTTAGTATCCAGAAGCCATGAGTTGTTAACCCTTAGGCTCGGTATTATGGATATCGCAACCTTTCGGCCTTGATTCCATTGTAAATACCGTAAATCTGGGAGAAAATGTGGCTTTCCTGCCTACCCCCGGGATTGAACCCGGACCACAAGGAGTATGTCACCCGGTCTCCGCGAAATCCGGTTTTAGCCAATTCCGCTAGAGAGCCGGGCACACCCTATAGAGTATGCATCATTGTATGTAAGTGAAATACTGAGAATAAGCTGAATAATGTATACGTAGGTGGAAATATGGTTTCTTAAAAAAAAAACGCAAAATATAATGGCTTGAATCTGACTAAAAACAGATCTACTCACAACACTTTCAAGAAACGATAGTCGTTAATATAAAAGACAGTTGCAACAAGAAAGCTGTGCAAACAAATAGAGAAAACAAATAGACAAACACCAAGACATTGTACAGGTAGGACAAGAATCATGATCGCCAATAGTCTGACACAAGCTACCCTTTCGTTATATTTATAGTCATCACTTTCGTTTTGTTGTAAATTATTTCGTTATTCGTATTCACTTTTTACTTCAACTAGAAATAATTTGTCCTCTGAAAGTACTGGAGAGTTTCTGGGAAATGGCATTCTGGTCTCAAGACTCAGTGAAAGGAAAACCCGAACTGCACCTCCACGCGGTAGAGGTGTGGCCAACGCAGCTATGGGGACATAGTATAAGCCGGGATAAGTGGAGACCTTTGGGGTGCCCTCTGCTTTTAGCAGGGGCATCACAGAGCAGGGCACTCACTTGCCCTAGCAGTCGAAAAAGTTGCTGAAGGCCGAGGACGTAGTCTAAAGCCATGTGGATGTGGAAAGCAACGGTAAACTACCACATTACTATCCCAAGAAACTCATCATGGAAGCCAAAAATTAAACTCAAAGATCTGATGGTGAGGCGCCCAGATCACAAACTGCGAAAGAGAACGATAGCAGAGCATTTAACGGTAGCTGTTTCAAGTTCATGAGGTGGAAGAACTGGCAAAAGACATAGTTTCTTTTATGTAGATTGTAGACAGTGATGAGAGCGACATGCTAAAAAGGACCTGTTGCACGATGATGATGATGATGAGAGATCATGTGATATTATTGTAGTAACATGTAAAGCTACATCTGGTTGGACATAAATTTATCAGAAGCCAATGAAATTTACTGACACAAAATTGCCCAGCCACTTCCGACTAAAAATAAATCACATGATCATGTGACACCCACGTCACACGTCTGCTACGTCTGGGTTCAAGAGAAAGGGTTGACGCCTCCCACAGACGCTTTTGTTTCTTTTCAGCTAGGTCGTCTCACAACTTCGCTCTCCAAAATGTCTTCCAGCAATCAAGGTTACGACATGAACTCACCACCTTACTCACCATTCTTTGGTGTGATGGGAGTAACATCTGCCATTTCTTTTTGCGGTAAGTTTTAGTTAATTAAAACAGCAAAAAATGTGCATCCGGCTAACGAGAACGTTATACTTATATAAGAACGCATAGCAACTACTTACTACGGTACATTTACTTACCACATTAACTCATTCTATTAACATTGGCACCTTTCAAGACGATAGTGTTATATTGCGCCAGAAGGAGGCATGAGACTCACAGCCCATGGCAAGTTCCTCCTCTACATAGCACAAAACCTGGGCAGTATTTTAGAGACCATATGTTGCACATGCGTAATGATCCCTCCCACGACCTGCCTTGTTTACTCCAAAGGAAAGGTAAAACCAGTACGTTTGGAACGAAGCAGGTTGCAGAAACTGCCGGATCAGAAAAGCAGCGCTCTATCTGTCCGCCTGTCAGATCTTCCCTCCTAGACCAGCTGCCCACCAAGGTGAAGGACATGGTCTGCCCTGCCATAACACAAAGTTTTCAGGTTATATTTCCTCTTCCTAGGATAAGGCTAGTATTCTCCCCCAATACGCTCCTATGAAGTGACACATGCACTTAATCCACATATAATCCATATACCATTGGCCTGCATTTTTAAAGGCCAATCCATAATTTGTAGAATTTGAAATCTATATATAATGTTTGTCAGCGCAACACCACCCAGTATTTTCCTTGATAGTAAGTACTGTCTAAGCCAAAATGTAAGTAAACATAATCATTCAGACAGAATTGGTTATTATAACAAAAAAAGAGTAGATTAATAACTAGGACATAGTAGGTTAATGTAATGTGTAAGACAGCGTTAATGATATGGTGAGGAAAGAGCAAATTAATGTAATAATTTTAAAATATACAAATAGTAAATCAACACCGTCAAGTTTTCTTGTAATTATTTACAAGCTCACTCGCTTGCCGACTCACGATCCAGAGACTAGCTGAGAGCATCCCTCGATTCATAAAACTCTGTAGCACCAGTGACTGCCCCAGAAAAAACTGACAGTTTAGCTGGTTCTGTGATCAGCTTGTTAGTGGACTAAGTAGACATTATAAATGTCATCACACATGAGTGAGATAATGGACTTGCTCAAAATCAGAACCATTGATGTCTGGCAAGGAGTTTATAAGATTCAAAGGTGTTTTTATTATCACAAGAAGTCTCATAGACTGGCATGATCATTTAAAAGAAATTGTGTTGAGTACATTTTGAGACAAGTAAGTTTACAGAGGCAAAGAAACGATGACTGAAACACAGAAATGGTAATATTGAAGATAAGAAAAGCCAAAGCTATGCTTTCAAAGTTTTATCTGATATAACTCCAGCTTCCCAGTTTAATGCATATATCTGTAGCTTGAGTGGATAGTACTTGTGTAAGGCTGAAACCTTAGGGGATCTTGTGTATGTCTAATGTCTGTCATCTGGTGCTGGGTTGGAGCAAGAAGGCTCACTTCAAGGCACCTGTAATTTGGATAATGAAGATATATACAGAGGCAGTACAATAGGCAATGAATGACAGCTTGGTGCATGGTAATACTTTTATTTATGGTTCTAATCAATCAAGCAGCTGGAGTTGAGAATCAGATGGCTGCACTGACTTCAGATGGGGCAATGCTAATGACTTGATAACCCATTTCCAACAGGTGATTAAAATTGAGAAGATTAACTTTAATCAATGAGGTTTTCTCCCCCCCCCCCCCCCCCCCCCCAGTTATTTCGTCTCTCTCTCTCTCTCTCTCTCTCTCTCCCCCCTCTCTCTCTTTCTCTTGAGTAATGGGCAGAGAATCGTGACACACAAGCTTCTTAGCTGTAAAAGTAGCTTCAGTAGATATAAAATAGGAATTGGCTGAGCCAGACAACTCACTCTGAAAATGCAGTCATGACCTTTAGAGAACAGGACTCTTCCCCACATCATTCAGACTTTGCCCTGTCTTAGGAGAGATGAAGGGCTTAAAGGCTTGTTTATAGTGCAGTGACATTTTCATCATGATGATTTCCTTCAAGTTTGAATTGTATCTGACTGAGAAGTAAAGAACCAACAGTCTGCATACAAATAAGTCGGCTATGAAAAACAGATGTGAATGCAAAACTAAAGTTCTGGAACAAGACCAAAGTCAAGAAATGGACGAACAGCTAGAACTTTCCGCTGGAGTTAACAGCCAGTGAACGCAAAGAAGAAGACAATGATCATAAAGATACTGATAATACCTGTGAATTATGCACACTACATAGACAACAAATGAAATGTTCAGACAAACTGTTTACAAACGTTTTATTTTTCTTTAGCTCTAGGGGCTGCGTATGGAACAGCTAAGTCTGGAACGGGAATCTCAGCCATGGCTGTGATGAAACCAGAACTGATCATGAAATCTGTGATCCCTGTTGTCATGGCGGGTATTATTGCCATTTATGGTCTTGTCGTTGCTGTCGTCATCACACAGGACATTTCCTCAACAAATTACACACTTTACAAGTAAGTTGCATTTCTGAGTCATTCAGTGTTTTTTTAGTATTCTTATTTTTATGTGTTCTAATATTATGGTTGTTTTTTTTTCTCAGAATTTTAAATATTCATCTGTGAAAAATTGCAAAAGGGGTGGAATGGCAAAGAGGTATAACATCCACCTCCAGCTCTGGAATTTGAGTGGTTTGTAAAGAATAACTTTCATTGCACACACATAATTGCATAAGTGTTTCAGTCTTCACCTATAGAATAGAAATGGAGAATCTCAGCATGGCACACACACTTTGTAGTACCAGTGAGAATCCAAAACTACTAGCATCATACAGGCTGTACTTTTTTTTTGTAGTAAGCTTTTCTAATTGGGAAATTTTATCTGAGCTGTCTCTTTATTTAAACACAACTGGGTATTTCATGTTTTAAGTTTGCACAGTTCCTTGAGGTTTTTTCACCTTTCTCTCATCTACCCCAAAGTCATGGTAGTTGTTCAAAAGGGTGGGTGTTAAAGAAGACAAAAAAAAAAGAGGTGGGGGTGTTTTATTTCTTGACTTGCCCACAATAGAAATTGTAGAACATGTGTGATTCTGATACACACAGGATGGGATTCTAGCTGGTGCTATATGAAACCTCTGACCTTGATGCTGCCAATCTGGTATCATTCCTTACAAATCCCTGAGATGGCTCGAACAGTCACTGGTGCATTGATTGGTTCCCTTACAAACCTAGTTGATGCTATTGTTTCTGTTTGTGCTTGGATTAGGAGGACCAGATATAATTATATTTACAAAAAATAGCATTTGGATTGGGTGTGGCGTAATATTATGAAGGGAAAAGACTTGTTTAATCACTCTGATGTCATTGTGGGGTCACAGTTTGAGCGGGGACAGGCATTTTTTTAGGGGGGGGGGGGGGGGGGGGGTAGTAGTAGTAGTAGATTTTACCCCACCAGGACATCACACAAGCGATAAACACCAGATGACACAAAGTGCCACCATGTGGATGAGGATCACTCGTGGAGAGGTCCCGGAAACCGCATTCAGCTATAACAATGGCCGGGCTATATTGCGGCTCATGGCAAGAGCCAGGGTAGGGCTTAAAAATAACGAAAAATTGCATCCCAAAATGGGATGACTTATGTTATATGATGGAAAGGGGGGGGGGGGGGGCAGAAGGACTGTGGTTGTTTAATTCTCTGCTGGGTTCATGTTTATTGATTACTACTCTTCATTTATTAAAATTAAATTTGTAAATGTATTTAAAAAAGTTATATAAATAATTTGTTGACAAATTTATTAATGACCCATATTTGTAAGGATGTTCTAGGAGGAAATTCCCAGGTTTTGTGTGTTTTTTTTAAATTTTCTCCAAAGGGGTTGCGGTGTAATAGGGTTAAGGCCCTTGTACAAATACTTAAGGAGTTATTCATTTGCAACAAAGGTCATCATGTAATGACATTATATTAAAATTATACATAGACTTATTTTATTAGCAGCTTAAAAAAAAAACATGTAAGAAAAGTATACTGAAATATTATATTGAATTATTTCTACAGTAAATCTAGGAATGTGAATGAAAAAAGTTAAAAGTTTGCAGGCATCAAGTGGTTTCTGAGAGGTATATTACCTACACTTTGGGCAACAAGAGTCACTAACATCGGCCTGTAAGAAAGTGAATTAAATTAGAATATTGTACACATTGATAAGAAAGAGGTATCTGCTGAGAAAAGAGCAATTGGAGAACATTGTGATAACTGGAAAGAAGAGCTGTAAAAAAGGCAGATCAAAAGAAATTATTATGGTGACATAATGCTAAAGATGTTGATATGGAGGAAAAGTATCATAAAACTGATCTAGAAAACCAGGAATGGACATCTCTAGAGAGACATGAAATCAAATGCCATCTGGCTGGACACATGATAAAAATAATGAAAAAGAAATTGTATGATTAAATGCAGAAATACAAGACAAAAGATGTGTTGGCTATGCAAGCCCATGGGGCTGGAGAATTGGCTAGAAAAAGAGGTACTTTCAGGCGTGCATTCTGTACAAGACCTGCCGATTGATGATGAATGCAGAAACAGTTCATTATAGTGTTCATTTAAAAAACTGTTGGCACTCATTTTTGTGTGTCTTCTGTTTATTGTAGAAGTTTCCTTCACCTTGGTGCTGGTCTGAGTGTGGGGCTGAGTGGCATGGCTGCAGGGTTTGCAATCGGAATAGTTGGTGATGCAGGCGTCAGAGGGACAGCGCAGCAGCCCAGGCTCTTTGTGGGCATGATCCTTATACTCATCTTTGCTGAAGTCTTGGGTCTCTATGGACTGATCGTAGCCCTGATTCTCTCCGTGAAGTAAAAGTTGACAGGTGGCACAGTGTTGAAATAGGACAAAACAAATTCTTGCGATCATGTTTTGGTTTTTAGAGCTGTATCAAAATTATCTTCATGCTGGTATTTTCCCCTGGCCATCATATTTTAAATTAGCTAAATTACCCTGAAGCAGATTGAAAATGCATAAGTGGTATTAATAGTGATGTTTTTACATCTGCTCCAATCCAATCACTTCTGTTACATACATTCTTTATTGCAGAATAACAAAGCACAATTTTTGGCTTCCAAGAACAGTTTTGATTTTTTTTTTATTTTAAATATTTGTTTCCCCAGGCACAACTATTACATTTGCATGCTTCTATAATTGCAAGTTCAGGCATGTTTCTGAACATACAAGAAACTGTGGAACTAAAATTCTTTTACAACGTACAATAATTATCCAGTCAATTGTTTTCTTCATTTGTATGCTATCACAGCTTTATTTATTCTAACCCTTTTGGTTAAGGAAAATTTTTGAAATTGCACAAGTACATCATCATCATGTGGCTGATCTCTTGCAAAATGACCGCCATCATGGCCTACCAGAAAGACTCTGGGTCCTATACAATTACTCCTTGCCTTATATATGTTCATTGCCAGGTGTTGCACAGGTGCATTGTGGATTACTCCTTGCCTTATATATGTTCATAGCCATGTGTTGTACAGGTGCACTGTGGATTACTCTTGCCTTATGTATGTTCATAGCCAGGTGTTGCACAGGTGCACTGTGGATTACTCCTTGCCTTATGTATGTTCATAGCCAGGTGTTGCACAGGTGCACTGTGGATTACTCCTTGCCTTTTGTATGTTCATAGCCAGGTGCTACTACATGGTGCACTGTGGATTATACAGTGTTTTAGCAGTGTGTATATGTGACAAGTTCTATTGCATTTATCATAGGCTCATGAGTGGATTACATTTAGTGACTGGTCATGTGTGACAAAATGTTGTACCATTAACAGACTGAAGCTAACCATTTCATGAAAACCACTCTTCCACAAGACTTACTAAACTGAAATATCACTTTTTTAAAATAAACTAAAGATAGGGATAATAATTAATGCCATTTAGGAACCCCTAACATGACATCTTGTTTGTTTGTTTGTTTTAGTATCCAGAAGCCATGAGTTGTTAACCCTTAGGCTCGGTATTATGGATATCGCAACTTTTCGGCCTTGATTCCATTGTAAATACCGTAAATCTGGGAGAAAATGTGGCTTTCCTGCCTACCCCCGGGATTGAACCTGGACCACAAGGAGTACGTCACCCGGTCTCCGCGAAATCCGGTTTTAGCCAATTCCGCTAGAGAGCCGGGCTAACATGACATCTAAACATTTATAAGGGTTCCAACATACCCAGAGCAGGCAACAACAACAACTGTTGATCTATACAAGCACTATTTGAGGAAGAGTGTACTGAGATGTCAGCAAGCTCAGATGTATTGCTGCTTTCTTTACATTCGTGCTGATATTTGAAGGTGTTAGAAGACAAAAAAGTAGAGGTCTTTCATAAATCACTTACATCACTTTGTATGGAACATTCTTTCTCTTGGTGATGTTTATGTACACATTTCTTGTCCACTGTAAACTACGCACTTTACAGCTTGTTATCAGTGTTATTACACGCCTAGTCAATGATAAAACTACATTGCCCCATCCAAGTGTAAGCACAAAATTTTGCTTCACTATTTCAAAAGTTAAGTTTCATTTGATTCTCTTCATAACTAAACAAAACTAGTAAAAACTGACATAGGCAGAACAAATGTCATGGATAGCCGTTTGGATTGTTGAGCTATATGAAACTTGTCTTTATGCTGATATTTCCCCCCTGGTGATTGGATTTTAAACTAAGCTGTATTTTTAAGTGACTAAACTGAAATTGTGTGGATGTTTTAAAAAGTGATGTTTTCTCACCCCCTCACAACTCTAACCCACACACTTCCATTCCACGAATTCTTTATTGCAGAATACCAAAGACTGAAACACAACAAGCTTCTAGGTCAGACTTGTCCTAAAGACTTCATTCAGGCTTTTACAAATCAGTTTGCATTGAACTTTTACTCTGTGTCTAGTATTTAAGCACAATATATTCTGTCCAGTTAAACTGTGCACTTTACAATTTGTTATCCACCTAGTCACTGATAAGAATACTTTTGCTCCATTAAAGTATAATCAAAAATTGATTTTGAGGTTTCAGAACATAAGTTTCTGATATTTTTCCTCAATACTGAACATAAGCAATAAACGCATTTATTTGTGTTGCCACAGCTTCTGTAAAATTGTTGCCTACTGTTTGTATAGTGTGTGTCTCTGTGTCTGAAGAGTTGTTACAAACAATTTGCCATCTTTACATGTGAAAATGATTTAATTTGGAATAAATATTATTTTTATGTTGCTTTGACTAGTGTTTTTTTCCCACTCAATGTAGTCTTTTGTTGAAATATAGGTACAGTATCATTGAACAACACAGTGGTCCCAGGTTTAGTCCTCATTAGTGGCAGGGTGGGCGTGTTTTCCAAATAGCACAGCTTTGTGTTTCTCCTTCTTCTTCTTCTGTATTTACCTTTAAAGGGATTGTTGACATGTTGTGTTGTAGCTTACAGATAAGGTGTGATATCTTTACTTTTCAACCCAACACATTCGATTTCAGTGAACTCCTAATTAGTTGTCAATTGCCACATTCTTGTTGAGGACAGTGAGTCTACCCTCCACCCACAACTCTCTTTGGGCTCTGGAACACGCACAGGGAAGTTTTGTATCTGACTCAGTCCTGTCAGGAGAGCATGTGATGTGAAGGGGAATGACAAAAGCTCTGGCTGACACTCAACAGCCAGAGAAATGGCAAGATAGACCTATCCCCAGAATGCATTTGGCACCTTTAGTTTTGGAACTCTGCACTGGCTGTTGAAGATGGGTCAGGAGTGCTTATGGGAGTACCTGGGAGTATTCTAATGTTGGCTCTCAACTCAGCTTCAAGAGTAGCCCTGTATAACTAACTGGTGCCATAGATTGTTCTGGAAAGGAAAGATGGTTAGGAAATGTGTTCATCTTACTTCTTGATGACAACCTTGTATACAAGAAAAGCTACACTTTCTGCTCTCAGCATACTTGCATGAGCTTATCTTTTTTCTTTTTTTTAACATTTGTCAACAGAAATTTATACTTCCCTAATGAGTTTTGGTGCCCCATTTTCAGCAAAAAGGAATAAACACTGTGCCTAACAAGCATGTCATAAAGGGTGATTATTCAGGTCGTTTCTGAACTAAGATGTGTTGGGCTGAAAAATGCAGATGTTGCAGCCTAGCTGAAAACCACAACACAATGTGGCACCTGGTTTTTTAGAATGAAAGTAGTCTGTGACCCTTAGCTCTACCCGGGGCTTCATGCAGGAGGTGCTTCATGTCAGCAGCTACTCTGAGATATGACTTTGCTTGCAGAACTTTGAGCCTATCTGCATTAGTAGGCAGTGTAAGTGTATATTGTATACATACTACTGAGGTATCTCTTGTACATTCCAGAATTATCCGCACAGCTTCATGCTGTGCAAGTTTCATCAGCTGAATCTTTGATATAGTAAGCATTCCAAGTCTATAATATATCACATGCCGGAACACTGTGAACAGCATTCTTTGTTCCATGTTTATTGCTGCCATAATCTTGAGAGCATTGAGTCCTCTTTGGCATTTCACCGCAACTGCCTCCCTGTGATCCCTGAATCACATCTACCCAGGAGTTTCTAGATACCGATTCTAGGCAAGATTGATCTGGACATGTAGGCCAGTTTGGTAAAACTCACTTTGCTGCGAATTAAACCCATGACCACAGGACCGGTTAGCAAGTGTCCTAACCTCTGTTCTACAGTATTGCTCATCCTATAAGTAATGGTAAATAAAATGCATTAAAAAAAATGTCTTACATTTGTTCCCCTCGCACTGGTTGAACTAACTATGAAATTCACTGACAGTATACCTCATTTGTGTCCTCTACACGACCTAATTTTCGGTATCTTTCTTCCTCTGCATTCCCCGCTAGAAGGGCGGTTGGCATGGTGCATTGTGGTTTACAGTCAGTTTGCAATATCTGTGCCTTTCGACCCTACACATCTGATTTCAGCAAAGTGCTAATTAGTAGCCTTTTACTACATGATTGCTAGGGGCGGTGGGTCCATTTTTTATTCCCCAAAAAATGGTACTCCGGAACCTACATGGGTTCATTTTCTGTATGATCTCCGTTAACTTCTATGGCCTTACGCTAACTGGAAACAAGGGCATGTACGCCTTGCCTGTATTAGGTTCGTTCTTGTTTACGCATGTCATTTATTTGCAGCATTAAAAAACTACTCAGGCCCATCTCTTCACTTTCTAAAGCCTTAACTTCCTTAACCCAGTTATGAACAGTTTACAATTGTGCAACTACAATGCGTAACACAAAAACGTTTATAAATGTTCACTACCCTTTCATTTCCCGCAACCAGACATTTTACGGCACTTAGCTGTTTTTGTAATGCACATTGTGATACCTTCTGTTTTAACAGATTAGTGCATTTTTCTGTTAGTCAGAATGAATTACAATTTCTCCACATACAATATTGACCTTTCATATTATAAAAATGGTTATAAAAATGATTACCTTGTAAAAATGAATTGCGGCGTCCGTGGCTTGGGCGTTGCGAGTCCTACTGGTAATTCCAACGTGCCGCGATCGAAACTCACTGCTGGCTGTGTGGATTTTTATCATGGTATGGGGCGTTGCAGGTCGACCCATCCTAAAATGGATACCAGGATGTATGTCCCGGGGAAGTAAAGACGGCCGGCGTAATGTTGACCACATAATCCACCTAGTGCCGATTGGTCTGTAAAAATATGGGTGTTCCTCCCATATGCCCGATGCGCCTATGGTGTGAAAAAGGATCTTTACTAGTTTTACTTTAATAAAAAAAAAAAAAAAAATTGCTTAACTTTCTCAATGCCCCTGATATTTTTTGTAT